GGGCTAACAAATGGTATCAGAGCCGTACAAGCGCCGTCGCCAGACTAACCGCTGGCGATGACGGGCGGTTCGGAGATGGACGACAGCAGTGGCACTGCTATGGCTGCCTAGCCACGACCGGAAGTCGTTGTTCGCACGGTGCGGGAGGTCAGCGGCACCAGTTGACCGACGCTGACTCGCACCAACTATGGAGAGTGGTCGGTGACCATGAAAATCAAGCTTAGAGCCCGTCGACTCTGGAATGCTATTGACAAGGGCACCAACAATGAGGAAGATGACATGTCAGCGTTGGAGGCTATCCTCGCTGCTGTACCTGCGGAGTACAGGGAGCCGTTGGGGATGAAGAGCTCTGCTAAGGAGGAGTGGGAGGCTATTGTGGCAATACGCATTGGTTCTGACTGCGCAAAGAAGGCAACGACCCAGCTTCTGAAGCAGGAGTACACCAATCTCAAGTTCAAGGATGGTGAAATGGTGGAGGACTTCTCCCTCCGCCTCCAGACGCTCATCAACAAGCTGAAGAGCTATGGCGTCACCATTGACGAAGAGGAGGCGGTCTCCAAGTACCTCCACTCCGTACCGACAAAGTACATCCAGATCGCTCTCTCCATAGAGGCGATGCTGGACTTGTTCACCCTCACCATTGAGGATGTGACAGACTGTCTGTGGGTGGTGGACGAGCACCTGGAGCAGGTGATAGCAACGAAGGACAGCAGCAAACTGCTACTGATAGAGGAGTGGGCTGCTCGGAGGAACTCTAGGAAAGCAGCCTCCTCCAGCCACGGTGGTAATGGTAAGCACCACGGTAAGGCTTCTTTAGAGAAGAAGAAGAAGCAGGTTGACCCTAACGCCTGTCGACGCTGTGGGAAGATGGGCCATTAGGCACGGGAGTGCCCAAATCGCAAGCAGGAGAAGAAGGCCGAAGCTCATCTGGCGCAAGCTGATGATGAGGATGAGGCCACTATCCTGATGGCGATGTTCTGTGCACTGCACGACATCGAGGCCGAGGAGAAGGAAGAGGCGACAATGGTGGAAGGACCTGGGAAGGCCCTAAAGACTATCAACCTCGACGAACCACGCGCCCAAGTCCACCTCGGACGTGTGGGCGTCGACCAGGAGCAGCGGTGGTATTTGGACTCTGGTGCCAGCAACCACATAATGGGCTCCAAGACATCCTTCTCCGAGCTCGATGACGATGTTACATGTATGGTGAAGTTTGGTGACGGCTCAAGGGTGGCAATCTAAGGGCACGACACCATCATCTTCAGATACCAGAATGGGGAGCACCGCGCACTAACGGATGTATATTACATCCCGCAGCTGCGTTCCAGCATCATCAGCATCGGTCAGCTGGATGAACGCGGTAGCGAGGTACTGATCAAGGATGGAGTCCTTAGGATCAGGGACCATGAGCAGCGACTTCTTGCTAAGGTGAAGAGGTCCCTGAACCGGTTGTACCTACTCGACCTGAAGGTAGAGCAGTCGGTGTGCCTAGCGGCAAGGCACACCGAGGAACCATGGATGTGGCATGCCCGGTTCGGACATCTCAGCTTCGACGCGCTTGGTCGGCTAGAGAAGATGATCCGAGGGCTACCCACATCAAGCACGAAGCGAGCTATGTGACAGCTGCCTGGCCGAGAAGCAGAGGAGGCTATCATTTCCAAAGGCAGCCAAGTATCACGTGAAGGACGCTCTCGAGCTTGTCCACGACGACCTCTGCGGGCCGATCACACCAGCTACAAACGGTGGTCGACGGTACTTCCTCCTGCTCGTGGATGATTGTAGTCGCTACATGTGGCTGCAACTCCTGACGAGCAAGGACGAAGCGGCGGCGGCGATCAAGAAGTTCAAGATGCGCGTGGAGATCGAGAGTGGCAAGAAGCTCCACGTGCTGAGGACTGATCGTGGCGGTGAATTTACTTCGGTGGAGTTCGCTGCATACTCGCCACAATAGAATGGCGTGGTGGAGAGGCGGAACCAGACGATGGTCAGCATGACTCGATCCATGATGAAGGCCAAAGGCATACCAACAAGGTTCTAGGGTGAGGCGGTGACCACGGCGGTGTTCATCCTCAACCGTGCTCCAACCAAGGCCCTGACGAGCAAGACGCCGTTCAAAGCTTGGTATGGGCGCAAGCCGAGCGTGTCCTTCCTCTGGACATTCAGCTGCACCGGCCACATCAGGAAGATGAAACCGAACCTCACCAAGCTGGAGGACAGGAGCACACCCATGGTGTTCCTGGGCTACACGGAGGGTACCAAGGCGTACCGACTCTACGACCCATGCGGAGACAAGGTGCTTGTCTCACGCGACGTCGTGTTTGACGAGAAGGCGACTTGGGATTGGACCAGTCTGAGCACGGGGGAAGCTGACGGCTTCACTAGCACCTTCGTCGTCGAGAACCTGGTCATTTACGGTGGTGGAGACGCTGGGAAAGAGGTGCCGAGCACTCCGGGAGGAGTGCTGAGCACTCCAGCGGTAGAACCGAGCACTCCTAGGGCAGTGCCGAGCACTTCAGGAGGGATGCCGAGCATGCCAGGAGTGGTGCCGGGAGGTTCTGCAGTGGTGGTGACCACTCTAGGACGGATGCCGAGCACTCCCGTGGCGGAGTCAAGAGGTCTTATAGTGGTGCCGACCACTGCAAGACTGAGGCTGAGCACTCCTACAGTGGTGCCGAGTACTGCAGGAGTAATGACGAGATGTCCAGAAGTAGTGCCGAGCACTCCAGGTGCTGTGCCGAGCACTCCGGCGGAACAGGGAACTCCATCGACGTCGATCGAGTTCGCCTCACCTCCAAGTGACATCACTGAGTTCGTGGATGCCTTCCACGAAGGTGAGGAGGTGCGGTTTCACAGGCTGGACGATATCGTCGTCGGCACAGGACCCTTAGTACTGGCTGGTCGGCTGCTCAGTGATGCAGAGCTGCTGCTCGTCAGTGTCGAGCGGGACAAAACTGGCGACGGACGATGCTGGAGGAGCTGAAGGCGATCGAGGAAAATGAGACATGGCAGCTCGTCGATCCACCTCCAAGATGTCGTCCGATCAGCCTGAAGTGGGTGTACAAGGTCAAGCAGGACGAGCTCGGCGCCATTGTCAAGCACAAGACGCGCCTTGTCGCCCGAGGCTTTGTTCAGCGCGAGGGCATAGACTTCGAGGAGGTCTTTATGCCAGTAGTGCGCATGGAGTCGGTCCGTTTGCTACTAGCTTTGGCAGCAGCAAAGGACTGGCGTGTCCATCACTTGGACGTTAAATTGGCCTTCCTCAATGGCGAGCTGGCGGAAATGGTCTTCGTCAGGCAACCTCCGGGTTTCGCCATCAAGGGAGAGGAGCACAGGGTGCTCTGACTGCGCAAGGCGCTCTACGGGCTGCAGCAGGCCCCACGAGCATGGAACACTAAGCTTGAAGCCACGCTGTGCGAGCTTGGGTTTCAACGGTGCGTAACCGAGCACGCTCTCTACACACGGCGATGGGGGAAGGAGGATCTCGTCGTCGGCGTGTATGTGGACGACTTGATCGTCACCGGCGCGCGCACGGAGGACATCAACAGCTTCAAGAGCGAGATGGCGGCTCGTTTTCGAATGAGCGATCTTGGCGCACTCTCCTACTACCTCGGCATCGAGGTGAGACAGGGGAAGGAGGAACTCATGCTCGGTCAGAGCGCGTATGCCTCCAAGCTGTTGGAGCGGAGCGGCATGGCTGAGTGCAAGCCATGCGTGACTCCGATGGAGGAGTGGCTGAAGCTGATGAAGGCCAACACCATGGCGAAGGTGGATGCAACACTCTACCTGAGCATCGTCGGCGGTCTGCGCTACCTAGTCCACAAGAGGCCGGACATTGCGTTCGCCGTGGGCTACGTCAGTCGCTTCATGGAGGATCCCAGAGAGGATGACTAGGCTGCAGTGAAGCGGCTACTGCGCTACGTCAAGGGGACGGTGGATCAAGGGATCATCTTTCCCAAGACCGGCGGGAGTTGGCTACAGCTCACGGTGTTCAGCGATGCAGACATGGCGGGGGACATCGACGGACGATGGAGCACCTCTGGCGTGCTCGTCTTCCTCGGGTCGGCCCTAATTTCATGGCTGTCGCTGAAATAGAAGGTGGTGGCGCTATCTACATGCGAGGCAGAGTACGTACCGGCGACCATAGCGGCGTGCTAAGTTGTGTGGCTACGCCGGCTGCTGGGCAAGCTAACCGGCGTGGAAGCTCACCCACCAGCACTGATGGTGGACAACCAGCCCGCCATCGCCCTCGCGAGGAATCCGGTTCTGTACGACCGGAGCAAACACATCGACGTGAAGTTCCACTTCCTTAGGGACTGTGTCGATGGAGAGCAGATCGTCATCGAGTTTGTCGAAACTGGTCGGCAACTCGCGGACGTCCTCAACAAGCCGCTCGGACGTCTTCGACTCACGGAGCTGAAGAGATGATCGGCATGGAGGGTGTACAAGGGAAAGCAGTAGGATTAGGGGAAGATTGTTAGAATAATCTACTGCTTCCTTGTGTGAACACACAGCAAGGGAATGCGGCGCCGAAAAGCCCCCCTGCTGTGGTACTGTACCCGTTGTCAGAGGCAGGCGCCGAACGGCTCACCTGTCGTACTGTAGCCACATGCAGGGATAGGCGCAGAAGTCATTCTTGCTGTGTTATCTAGTTACTGTTACAGCATGTGCGCTGTACTAGGACTAGATGGATAGAGTTGTATAAATAGATTAGCACGACAACTCTGTAAAGAGAGTTCAGATTTGTCATCTCCCATACCGGGTTTCGGGCAACGCTGGTGTCTTGTACTGTGTGTGTATGCTCTGTTCTCCACCTTCTTTAACCTCTAGTCATAGTGTGTGGGGACGGACAACGCTTGTTCATGGTCAGCTTAGTTAGTGGATGCTCGACAAGACTGCTGAGTGATTCACTCACCTGAGCCGGTGATCCTGTGGCTAACCGTGGATGGAGGGTCATCGCTGGCTGCCAGAACACGATAAAATAGGATCGGGGGAGGAGGGGGATGGTGATGCCGCCGTTCGCTTGGTCCGCCTGTTGCCACTCCTCCGGAATGCATGGTCGGCGCGGCGGCGCCGTCTCCTTCAACGAATCCACTAGTAGAAAGCGCAGCATTGGACAGGGATGCGAGACCTAATTTTAGCTTTGGGTTAGCCGGTTAGGGCTGGGTTGGACAGCTAGCCATCCGTCTATGTAATAGAGCATGCACCGTGGCATATTTTGCATGGATGACAGTTCCTAAATATTATTATTAAGAATACTTCTAATAAACTTACATATGATCGACATGCGCTGGTATGCAACTACTTACAGCTAACACACGGCTGCAGTGCTGCATGCATGCTACGTGAACACTAGGAACACTGGACGCCTATCAGCTAGAATCCTAAAAAGCATATCTAATTTGACTAGACTACTACTCATGAAATACTGGCCGTAATTAAGATGATGGGGATGGAGTCGACGGTGATTCTGGTGGCGTAGCTGCTGGCGTCGGCGGTGGATCGGACGGTGATTCTGGTGGCGTAGCTGGTGGCGTCGGTGGTGGGGTGGAGGGTGATTCTGGTGGTGGAGTTGAGGGTGGTGATTCCGGTGGTGTAGCCGCTGGCATCGGTGGTGGGGTGGAGGTTGATTCTGGTGGTGGAGTCGAGAGTGGTGATTCTGGTGGCGCCACCGCTGGTGTGGGAGGTGGAGTCAATGGTGATTCTGGTGGAGGAACAGAGGGTGATTCCGGTGGTGATGCCGCTGGTGGAGTCGACGACGGTTCCGGTGGCGATGCTGCTGGTGGTTCCGGTGGTGATGTTGCTGGCGGAGTTGACGGTGATTCCCCCGGTGGTGACGCTGCTGGTGGTTCCGGTGGTGACGCTTCCGGCGGAGTCGATGGCGGTTCCGGTGGTGACACTTCCGGCGGAGTTGATGGCGGCTGCGGTGGTGACGCTTCCGGCGGAGTCGATGGCGGTTCCGGTGGTGACGCTTCCGGCGGAGTTGATGGCGGCTCCGGTGGTGATGCTGCTGGCGGAGTCGATGGCGATTCCGGCGGTGGCGGAGTCGGTGGTGATGGGGTTGGCTCAGGCGTCGGTGGTGGAGTCGATGGTGGAGGGTTCATCGGTGGCACAGGCCCCCCTGTTTAATTAAATTAAATCGACACGTGTAGATTTGTTTCAATCAATCAATATAACAATGCAGCCATATATAAAACTCAAAAGGAAAATTGTTGCTTAGTATATGATCGACTCACTAATGCACTGGCGAAGCGTGGCACGTGGGAAGGAGACGGCGCACAAGCGGGGGAGCTCCACCATGCGTCGCGGTATCATGGGCGCCGGCAGGAGCTTGCTGATGTCGCCGCTGACGACGTGGCACAGGCAGATGGGCGCGTCGGTGACGAGCGACCTGAGGCCGTGGCAGCAGGCGCTGGAGGGGGCCTGCGGCACCCCGGTGCTGGTGAGGAAGTCCGCGCACGGCATCAGCCCCGACAGCGACGTGTAGCACTCGGCTGGCTGCGGCGGCGGCGGGGAAGGCGGCGAGCAGGGTGGCAGCCACGGGGGCCGTGGCCGGCCTGGGATGCAGGGGATCGGCGGGAGCGTCCGCCGTGAAGCTTCTTCGTCGGCATTGGTGAAGGTGAAGGCAAGCAGGAGAGATAATAGAAAAACGCACAGGCACTTGAACAGCGCCATGGCTTGGATTGGATGGCGATCTGCTTGGGTTTGATGGTACAATGTGGGGACTGGGGATCTATATATACATTTATATAGATCGGGTGGGTTTGAGATAAAAAGGTGATTCTCCCTAACATCTAGTAGGCCTGGAAGACCGCATGCGCTACGAACGAGTATGACGGGGGATCTAGTGCCTCCCGTAATTTCCTAGCCTCGTACGCCACTCCCGTCGGCGGCAGCGTTGGTTCCACCGCGAGTCACGTAGCTCTCGGCTCCTATCTGGTGTATATTAATTTTTTTTCCTTCGGTTCATGCATGCAGGCGTCACAGAGTACCCCAGGCAGATCAGACCTGGTCTAGTGGTGTTTGTATGTGGTCTTGGTAGAGACCTGTATTAAAAAAATAACTGCAAAGTTGTAGATCACGTCAAAAGCTACAATTTTAATATAAAATTTGTCTGCATCCATGTTCATACGAAAAAGTAATGAATTTAGTTTTTGACGCAACTATTTACAGAAGCGCCATCAATCGATTTTAGGATACAGACGTTTAGAACGACCACCTTCAAAAATCTGCGATTAATGAAGGCGGTCGTCTTAAGATGTCCGTCTTTAAAAATCGATTTACGGAGATGGTCGTTTTCCGTAAATGATTTTCGGAGGCAGACAATTTCCTGGAGCCCCCTGACCATTTATAGAGGTGGTCGCTAGGTGTGCGTGCCTCCGAAAAATGATTTGACATTGTCTCCTAAAATCAATTTTTTATTAGTGATTTTCTACAGCATTATTTGGACCTCCTCCTGTACCAGACATATTAAAAAATAATTAAAAATGTGTCTACCTACCTATGGATATGATTTATACTTCCTGCAAGAACATGTAATGACATATTCGGACTGTTGAAAACAGTTGTTACGTTGCTCCATGATTAGATAGCATATGCGTAACCATATATGTCAAGATTGACCCATCGGTATGTAACAATTTACAAGAGAATGAAAAATGTTCTTTAAATTCTTCATCAAACTCCAAATACATCCTCCTTGTATATGATTCGGCTGCGGTTTTCAATAGAGGTAACTTTGGGATGTAAGTAACAGGGTCCTTTTGACGTGAATTAAAATATGCATCTAACTCATTTTCATGAAGACTGTTGGAAACCGTCTCACATTCCACCGAGAGTTTAGTAAGTCCAAGTTTTCTACGAAATCTTTTCTTAAAGACATTATTCATACCATCACTCATTTGAGTTGAAATTATGTTAGCTGTAAAAGAGTCACGGTATACAGCCCCCCACTTTGTCCTCAAAGCATATAGGTTTGTCATCCATTGGTTGTTCTCAAGGTTATATTTTACAATTCCTGCCACTTCTGGATGAACAGAGGCTCTGATCTGTCTTTGTAATATATACACGCATCTCTTAAAATCATGTAAGAATGTGTAAGGATAATTCTTAATTATGTGCCCTAGCTGTTTAGCACCATTAAGATAGATATGCACAAATAAAGACAATGGCTTGTATTTCTGAATACGTAGGCAATTGCTCTTGCCATGGCCGCGTCTTGATCAGTGAAAATTGTGCTGGGATGCTGTCCTAACATTGCTGTTACGAAGGTCTCAAAGAGCCAAGCAAATGATTCAATAGTGCTCATTAAGTATTAGTGCAGCCCCAAAAATTATTGTTTGCTTGTGATGGTTTATTCCAAGGAGTAGAGCAAATGGCATTTCAAACTTAGTCTGAAATGTGGTGTCAAATGATACAACATCACCAAAGCATGCATAGTCTATAATAGACTGACCATCTACCTAGAAGAAATTAGCTAACCGGTCATCTTCCTCATCTATTTGAGTAGCATAAAAAAATATAGGATCATCTTTCTGCTTATTCTTCAGGTAATCCAACAATGATTGTGCATCATTGGATTCTAAGTACTTCTTGCGCTCATGCCCGATCTCATTATTGCTATCCATCTTTGTGAATAGAACTTTGCCAGGTCGTCCATAAAACTCTTTCATTAACTCATACACCTGGGGTGGACTCATCCCGGCTTCCCTTATCTGACCAATTAGCTGTCACAATGCTAGGACTTCAAGTTGTGCAACTTATTTGGACTAGCAAGATATTGATTGTGATCAAGTACAATCTTTTGCACTTTCCAAATCCCTGGCCTCTTTGTTGACACTAAACTGAACACGAGTATAACTTGTCCTTGTAATATCCCTATGTGATGACTCATTATCTCGATGCTCTTGATTACTACAAACTACATGTTTCTGATATATAGTTTTATCTACTCGGTGCTTTGTATTGCTCTTTATAATACTATAAATCCAACCTTACCGGCATAGGTATTGTACATCTCATAAGCTTTATCCTCTTAATCGAAAGTCATTCCAACCTCGGGAACAATCAAATTTTGCCCAACTTTATCAACCGCCTGTTATACATTGAGATGGAAATTAAAATTATTTCACAACGGATCTGTTAGACTACTATTAGCAGGATCCCTGATTATCGCTCCTTGATTATCGCTGCTTGACCTGCGCCACAGCCGTGCATGTGCATGCTACTATTTTAGGTGAGTTCATTCACATATCGTAGCAACCTCCTCCTTAATTATTTTGACCGGATACTGTTTCCATAAGCCGGTATGATTATACAGTAGTAGAAGAGAGAGGCTGCCAATATATGTACGTTTTGATTCCTGATTAGTCAATCAATGAATTATCTCGTCTATATATCAGGATCCATACCCAGATAATTTTTGCTTTTCCACCCACAATGAAAGCCCTTTGTCGTCCGATCGACGACGTGACTTGGGTCACGACACAGGGGTGAAGGTGTCGCTGCATATCATATCAGAGTCGAAACCATCCGCCGTTGTAGCCACTGCCGAGTGCCGACGAATCAACCCTTGGATCTGCTGGCCGCCGCCAAGGCACCTGCAGACGAGCGGTGCCTCCGCTAGGGCTAAACTGGCGAGCACGGAGTCGGGCCTCCTCAAACGATATTTTTCCCCCCACAGTTTTAGCCTAATACTTACAACAGTAAACTAAGGCCCCGTGAGTTTCTCACGGAATGGAGGCCTGGAATGATTCCAGCCAAAAATATTATGTAAATTTATACTATTTTTTATCATCTGGAATGAATCCATTGGGAAGAGGGCTAAACGAACGAGCCCTAAGTGGGCTGGCTTATCACTCATCCAAATACAGTAGTATTTTCTAGATCGAGTTGTAAAATTTTTCCAAAACCGGACTTCCAAACAGGCACTTATTGTTTACGGACGCGGAATTCGTTGGCCGAAGCGCCGTTGTCTGGTCTGGTAGGAACTTAACGCACGGAGGTACTCGTCCTCCCCGAAATCCGGCCACATGACGTCAGAGAAGAAGAGCTCCGAGAACGCGGACTGCCACAGCAGGAAGTTGCTCAGCCTCAGCTCGCCGCTGGTCCTGATGACCAGGTCGGGGCAGGAGAGCTCGCCGCCGCCGGCGACGCTGGTCCCCAGCTTCCCGGCGATGAGCGCCTCGTCGATGTCCTCCGGCCTCAGCAGGTCGCGCTGCACCTCCGTGGCGAGCTCTTGGCACGCCCGCAGTATGTCCCGCCGCCCGCTGTAGCCGATCGCCAGCATCAGGACCATCTCCGAGTTGCTCCGCGTGGCCTCGTAGGTTTCCCTCGCCGCGCGCAGCAAGGACGCTGGCCGTCCCGGCGAGTCGCCGATGAGATGCAGCCGGATTCCCTCCCTGCAGAACTCGTCGACGTTGTCACGGATAAACCCCTCGTACAGCTGCATGAAGAAGTCGATCTCCGCCTGCGAAATTCCAAGAACCGCGCGCGTCAGGCTCCTTTACGTTACAGAAATGTCAGAAAGTGAAGTGAGCTGCTGATGGACGGCGTAGGCGGCAGCCTGGCAGCCAGCCATGGATGATGCATGCCTTGGGGCGGGTCATGTTCTCGTGGGAGCAGGCGAAGACGGTGAGCGCGCGGATGCCCCACGCTCGCGACAGCCGCACCGTGCGCTCCACCGTGCGCCGCCCCACCGCGTGGCCCTCCGACACCGACAGCCCCCGGGCGCGCGCCCAACGCTCGTGCCCGTCGATCACCAACCCTACGTGCCGCGGCAGCGACTCCGCCCGCACCCCGCTACGGAGGAGGAGCTGGAGCGGCGGCGCCTCGCGATCGGGAGTGACCGGGACCGGGGCCGGGGCGGTGCGCGTGTCGGTGGTCTCTGCGGCCGACGGAGCGAATGGAGACAGCCGGATAATGCGAGCGCGGCGCGAGATGGCGGGTGATGGAGCCCGACGACGATGCCAAGCGGCGGCGGCGGCGGACGGAGAGTGTTGCGCGAGCAGCATAGGCGCGTTCATCATCCTATTCCTATCTGTGGAGAATCCGGTTATAAGTCGTGACTAAAATCTTGCTCACTCTCGAAGTTGATCGCTTGTTCATTTGCCAACAAGATGCTATACGAAGTCCCAAAGCCTCATGCATGGTATATATATATATATCTCGTGGGTTAGAGAAACAAACAACATATGCCATAAGTACGGTGTGCCTCTCACACAGCTGAGTATTGATATTGCAGCAATTTCGTTGGTCCTTAGTGTTCTCATTAAGTGTCATATACTGTCAATCTGTCATATGCATGCATGTGGTCGCAAGGTGCCTTGTTGGTCATGTGGTCCGCGAGTGTATGTAAGTGTTTAGTGTCCTCAAACGGGAGAGAAAGGGACATTTTATCAGCAACTAAGCATGGGGCATGGGCATGGTTGATCCTTTGCATCAGCATCCATGCATTGTGTGAGAAAATATCCAACTATAAGGGGATGGATCCACTGGCTAAAGTTTAGCCCGGGTCGCATCGGATGTTTAAAAGTTAATTAGGAGGACTAAGCATTATCTAATTATAAAACTAATTGCATAAGTCGTGATTAATTCGCGAGACGAATTTATTAAGCCAAATTAATCAATGATTAGTATATGTTTATTGTATCATCACATTCGCTAATCATAGACTAATTAGGTTAATAAATTCGTCTCGTGAATTAGCTTTCATTTATGCAATTAGTTTTGTAATTAGTCTATATTTAATACTCCTAATTATCCTAGTAGCTAGTGGGGCAAACGGAAATGCTAGGTCAGGGCGTCCGATCGTCCGGACGCCCCCATTGTCGTGGGCTGTGACTGTACAAATGGCCCAACTATCCCGGATGCCACATCTGATCGGCTGTTTGATAAAAAAGTACGGTTGTCTTTTTCATTCACGAGTCTCCCAAAACGTCATTCCCCAATCCCCACTCGTCATCGAATTCCAATTTCCACGCTCCAACGTAACCGCGCTCCCGCGGCGCTCTTGACCGTGGTTGGCCGGCCACCATCCTCCATCTCCACCTCACTTGAGCGCTGCCGGCCACCTTCCCCCTCTCCACCATAGTTCACTCATCGCGTGGCTTCAATTCGTCACACCCGCCCGACCGCTTCCGTCCCTCTCCAACGACACCTTGGGCAAGGAGAGGCGAATAATCAGCCTCTGCCTCTCTTCCTCTACACAGAGCTCGGTCCACATCCTCCCTCGGCGACGTCATACAGCGATGCAGACGAGATCGGGCCGAGGCAGCGCCACCCGCCTCTGCTAGCACTGGTGGTGTCGTCGCATGCCTCAGGTGAAAGGTCCTTGTTTGGTTTTGGTAATTAAGTGACAACCCTAGTTGGACTAATTATATTTATGTGAGATACACAGGTGATTAGTCCACAGGTACATGTGTGTGAGCAACATATGCCATGGAGGTGGAAATGGCTCGGAGATGTTTGCAAAGCTCACACATGTGATGATGAAGGAGCTCATTGCACATGAGACATGACATTGAGTCATGTGATCAAGGTGGAGAAGATCAAGACATGACTTGGCTCGACGGACCGGTTGCAAGTGTGAAGGGCAAGTTGAGTGATGACTTGGCGCCGATGGACCGAGGCAACGGTGAAGAGCAACTGAAGTCAAGATCGATGAACCAATATGATCACGTGATGATATGAAGTGGATCATATCATTGTTGATCGTGTTGGTGCATGTGTTTCATCGACATTGGAGGAGATGGAATGGAATGCGCAAGGCAAAGGTATAACCTAGGGTATTTCATTTTACCGGTCATAGGTGTGTAGAGAAGTTGATGACCGGGTTTAGGATAGATGGCCGTACTATCAAGAGGGGCAAACTTGTTTTCATATTGGTCATCTAGTGCCACACGAGTGATCTAACTTTGCATCATTGCTAGGATCGAGTGGCGTGGCAAGTTGAGTGGCTAATCCTTTGAAAAATAATTGTGAAAATGCTAACACACATGCATATTGTGGTGTACACTTGGTGGTGTTGGCATATTTGCAAAGGAGAAGAAGTTGGAGTTGAAACGGATCAACTCGACGAAGAAATGGAGGCAAAACAGGTCACTGTGAGTGACCGGATGCTAGCGCGAAGAGTGACCTGACGTGCAGGGGCCGCCTCCTGTCGTCTCTGACGTACGCTGACACAGTAGCGTGGGCGTAGCGTTGACACGTGGTAGGCGGTGAAGGATCGGACTCAGGTGCTGCGTCCAATCATGACTCACCTGACGCGTCCGGTCGCAAAATAGAGGCTCGGGGAGCTCACTGGAAACGACCGAACTCAGGAGGTAGTGCGTCAGGTCATGGAGCAAAGGCCCGTCCGGTCACAGGTGATGTATGGTGATGTAGGCGGCGCTGGAGTTGGCGCGCTGCCGCAGAGCTGATCGGACGCTGGTCTGTGTTCGGTCGTGCAGGAGCGGACACGTCCGGTCGCGTGAAAGCTTCTCTAGACCATTACTGGAAGTGATCGGACGCGTCTTGGGGCAGCGTTAGGTCAAGCTGAGCAGCGTGTCCGATCAGTGACTACTGGCATGCGTAGGAGATAGCCGTTGGCAGCAATGGTTAGTTCAAACGGCTAGTGACACATGGAAGCATGGCAGCGACCGGACACAGGGATCAGCGCGTCCGTTCAAGTGGACCTGCGTGTTCGGTCGATGCGCAGTCTGCCCAATGAAGGGGTAACGGCTATTTTAGCCCATGGGGCTATAAATAGAAGCGTTGGTCGGCCTTTGGCCATAAGCTGAGTAACCTTGAGCCTTGGTGGCTTGTGTAAGTGTGCTTGGGAGCCCTCTAACTCACTTGAGCTTGATAGTGTTCATCCGATCGAGTGAGTGAGCGATTCTAGTGCGATTGCATCGGGAGGTTGCATCGAGTGGCACTAGATGGTCGTCTTGCAAGCCGGTGGTGCTTGTTACTCTTGGAGGTTGCCACCTCCTAGACGGCTTGGTGGTGGTCTCCGTCGAAGCCCGCAAGAAGCTTGTGTGGTGCTCCGGAGAAGAGCTTTGTGAGGGGCATTGTGCTCGTCCCACGGGAGTCGCGAAGAGCAACTCTAGTTGAGCGTGTTATTGAGCTACCCTCACTTTCGGGGTAGGTTCTTACGGTGCCCGACGTGCGGGCTTGGCGGGTGATGCCAATTAGCTGCTGTCGGTGCGGGACCCACGGGATACCCCGCAAGGAAGGGAGAAGATCTAGTCCAACTAGGATTCTTCCCATGTAATCTTGGTAGTAGTATTATTCTGTAATCCTACTAAGAACTCTCATTGTAAACCGACTAAGATTCTGGCCTCCTGACTATATAAAGGAGGGCAGGGTTCCTAGAGACGGGACTTTTGACGAAACAACACTTGACAATCAATCCAACGCAAAGGCTAACACCGACTGGATGTAGGGCTATTACTCGATCAACGATCGAGGGTCCGAACCAGGATAAATCGACTGTCTCTTGCGTTTACCGTCGAGTTCTGCATACGCTGAAGCCCGAACAAACTGCCCCGGGTACCCCCGTGGCAGGCTATTGGTGGTGAAACATCGACAGCTGCCAAACCACCAAGTGAGCGGTCGACACAACGGGGCATAGCGTGTCGGCAAGCACGTGAACCTTGGGAGAAAAATCACCGTGTCAACATTGTTCTTCCCGTTGGTTTACAATCCCCTTACACAAGCTTGTAATTACTTTCATATACATTGTGCTTGTGTAGTTGCTCTTGTAATTAGTTAGCTTGTGTAGCTCACTTGTTACCTTCTTGCTTGTGTAGCATAAAAGTAGCTTCCTTGCGTGGCTAATTTGGTTTGTGTAACCATGTTAGTCATATTGATTAGTTTGTGTAGCTATGTATTTGCGCTCTCTAATTTGGCATTGGTTGCCTTGTTATTAAGCATTGCTAGTGAGCTTAGGAGCTTTGTGCTTTTGCTTACTAGAATTATGTAGGAGCTCCCCGGTGTGCAAAATACAAGTGGCATAGGTTTGTGTGACATTGCTCCTAGAATTAAATAGGTGAGCTCTAGCTAGCTTGGCACCTTTGTTGCTTAATTAGGATCTTTACAAGGTGCTAGAGAACATAGATAGAGGGGTGTAGTCTTGGCTAGACCGATAGTTTTAATTCCGCACTTGTTTCGGTTAGCCGGCGCGATTAAGTTTTAGAAAGGACTATTCACCCCCCTCTAGTCCGCCATCTCGAACCTACATCAGGTCGGTCCCCACCGAGCCAAGGGCACCCACGAAGCGTGGCCCATGCTGATGATGCTCGGTCACTGCCACTCGGCGCTGGCTCCCACTCCGAGGCCAGAATCAACCGGCCCTGGCGTCTCCCTCCCCCTATGTTACAAATATATATTTCAAGTGTTTCATTTGTTATCAAATGTATGTTGCAAGTGTTTTATATGGATGTTCCAAAAGTAGATCGGGATGTTGCATATGTTGCAAGTGTTTCAGAGGCATGTTGCAAGTGTTTTAGAGGATGTTGCAACCGTTTGTTTAAAATGTTTCATCTGTTTCAAACGTCTATTGCAAGCATTTTTTATCTGGATGTTGCTCATATTTCACACATATGTTGTAAGAGTATGTTTGAAGTGTTTCAACTGTTTTAGTCATATGTTGCAATAAGTGTTTTCATGTTGCAAGTTGCAAGTGTTTTATTTGGATGTTGTAACACCCTAAAAATTTGACCTAGTTTAAAAGTCACTAAAAATTTGAAATTTTTAAAACTTGCTGTCGGATACCAGAAAATGGGGTACCCCAAGCAAAGATCGAAAAAATACTTAGACCCTAAGAACAGAACCAATGGAATAAACAAACGAGGTCTCGGCCGAAATCTCCGATTCGCCCGAGACCCTGTCGCCGAGCCCCACGGAAGCGAACGATTCTCCGACTCGCCCGAGACCGCCTCGCCGAGGCCCCCTCGTCGAGGCCCCCTCGCCCGGGGCCTCGGAAGAAGTGCCGATTCTCCGATTCGCGCGAGGCCGGCTCGGCACCAGCCCCGTGACCACCTCTTCG